TGGCGTCGAGAGTATGGCTCCAAGGCCACGGCGGGAAGATTGGTTGCTAAAATCACGACGGAATTTGAGGCATTCCGGGATGAAAACATTTATCACGACAAGACAGGTTGGTTTCAGCATCCCTCACAGTATTATTGATCTCATAAACGTATTCTCTAGTGTATTTCTGGAAACGAGCACAGATATTGGTAGCTGAAACCTGGTGAGTTTAGTATTGTAAGGAAGTGTATTATGACTAAACGGTACTATCTTGTCTGTGGTTTGTATTCACATATCAGGGCCGCCTTTTACCCTCCGCCAGAGGCTACTACCTCGCATCCTATATTTCCTCTAGGTGTGACCGAACTTACCATGTTCGCAGACTATCGAGTACGTCCACGCCACCTTCAATAGTTTAATTTCTTGACAACCCCCAGGTGCCGCAAATCCTACACCACCTTGGAACCATTGATTACTCGTCAACCCTCGTCTCCATATTGGAAAACGGGGACGACCTCCCCAACGGCTCCGAGACAGAGATGAGCATTCGCGCTGCTGGTATTCTCGCCGTTGAAGGCATCAAAAATAGGATACTGCAAATACGAAAGCAGAGGCCAGCAACAGATAGTCTCGACTCGGAAATTTGCAGCGTCTTGATCGACTTCTTCCTCTGGGACCTGGCGAAACGGGTGGAGAGCACCGCAGGAGAAGAGGGTTCGGCGAAGACTCCAGCTCTAGCCCCTATCCACCGAACGCGAAGCATCTGGTACTGACCCGCTCCATGATGGGGTTGCATGTGCTTTCGTCTCTATCTCAAGGGCTATCTTGTTCTGAAGTCTATGGGTCCAGCCCCGGGTGTCTATCTGGCTTGGGTACACAATAATCACATGTTGACTATCCTCTAACCCACGTTCGCCCACAAAAGTCGACTCACAAACAAATGTTTATATTGGGAGTATATTTACAACGCCCGCGACTGGTTCAGGAGTGAGTACTCGGAGACAAGCCCGTTGACATATCAGCCTTTTTTTAGATGGTCGCGGGGAGCACTCTTCAAATAGCAGCTAAACGTTTGATCTAGCCGGCTACGATGTGCCTTACCATGTGCATTCAGATGACGGTGAGTTGCGTTATGCGCACTATTTTACCAAAGCTAGCACGCCATTTGTCAAAAGTATGGTTGAATCCCGTAGCCTTCTTGCGAAAACACGCCAGTGAAGGAAGCCAGAGAGGAAATGGCATGCTCGGATAAGCCGGGAGAAGTAGGCTTCCACGCTGTATGCGCCGCTTCTCGCCATCGAGCCAATGGATAACCCCATTATCGCACTCTGGTGTGATTTTTGTCTGTCCGATGCTCTCACAGAGGCTCCACATTTGAACATACATATAGTGCGCTCGTCGAATGAATGAGCTCTAAGGCAGGCTAGGATCCCCTAGGTTCGCTAACCTCTCTCGTCTCCCGCTGAGACCGAAACTTGCGTCCAAGATGGTGTTGGCGACATCTCTCGACTCTTCTCAGGCCGCTGTGGGCGATCTCGTTGCAGCAATGCCGCCCTTAGGCTCAAGCTTGGCGGCTAATGCTGTCGCTGTCGATCGTGTTGCGCTTCACCCAACAAGATTCGATTCTGTGGACGAGAAATCTTTGCCTCTGGACGATTCTAAAGACGCCGGCTCGCCGCTGGACGAGAAAGACCCCCACTCGTACGCAGATGAACACTTGGACACTGTGAAATTTGTAAATGGACAACCGATCATCGAAACGGTACGTACGCCATGTCGTTCAAGTACCCTTACATAAATGCTGATACAACAATTACTTGAAGGGAGCCCATGTTAGCAACTTCGCTGTAGACGACCGAGATGACGGGGACCCATCTTTGACTTGGCGGTCATTCTGGATTGGAACAATTGTAGCCGGGCTTGGCGCCGCGCTTTCTCAGGTCGGTCAACCAAAGCTTACCCAGGTACAGCCTTATCTTAACCGACTCTATCATCTAGATATACATTTTCAAACCTATCGACGTCTCCGTTTCTGGTATTTTCTTGCTATTGCTCGTCTATACAATCGGAAATGCCTGGGCTTTATTCCTGCCCAAACCTGCGAGGTTTGAAACTCGTGCGCCATGGCTTGTGCCAATTGTCCGTTTCATTAATCCTGGGCCGTTCGGACTAAAGGAGGTAAGTCCTCCCATTTCGAAGTTGCTATAGATACATCCCCTGATCGATTTCTTTGCATAGCATGTGATAGCAACTCTCATTGCAACAACAGCTGCTGGAGGCGCCACCGCTGTGAACATATTCGCTGTACAACGAGTATGTGTATTGGACTTGTTTATACCAAAAATGCTCTGCTTACGTTCACCCACAGTTGTTCTATGATGCAGAAGTTTCAGCCTCCACTGCTGTTTTAGCTACGTTCTCGACGGCGTGCTTCGGATATGGTCTTGTGGGTCTACTACGTCCACTAACCGTTTTCCCGAGTGAGATGGTGTACTGGGCCAATCTTCCAACGGTGACGACCTTCCAAGGCATGTTGTTAGTGTATGCGTAGCATGGTATTTTTATGACACTACATCTTTAGCGTTACACTGGGACAAGACTGCAACCTCAAAGCGACTTCAATTATTTTGGACGGCTTTTGGTGGCATGGCCGTTTACGAGATATTCCCCCAGTACATGTAAGTTGTTGTTCTCTATTCGATCTTTGAAGTGTTATTTACGCCTTTGATAGCTTCCCTCTCTTGAACGGTTTTTCGGTTTTCTGCCTTGCTTCACAAAAGGCATCAGACAACGTTCGAGAAGTGTTTACGAATATCTTTGGAGGTATTAGTGGAAACGAAGGATTGGGATTGCTGAGTTTGAGTTTCGACTGGCAGTACATCGGTAGCACATACATGTCGTTGCCTTTAATTCAACAAGGTAAAATATATACAATATTTATGAAGATCAGTACTGAAATTGAGCCTCCCTAGGGAATTCATGGATTGGCTACGGTATATGTTATGTGGCTATTTTGGGTATCTACTACTCAAACACTTGGTCTGTAAGTTACAATAGTTTTCGCGTATCTTAGTGGCCAAGCTGACAACCTGTACCAGGCACAATCTTTCCCGATGCTCTCGACGTCCATCTTTGGATCGAATGGCAAAAGATACAACCAGACCGCAGTATTTGGTCCCACCTTTACTTTGAACGAGACAGCGCTCAACGCTTATGGGCTGCCACATCTCACTGGGTCAAATGCGTGGGGTAATATGACGGCGTGCTGGTCGGTAAGCAATGGATACTCTGATATTGGTTAATAATAAACTGAGAACAATTTTCTTTCACTTCCACTGATCAGATTGGTGGACTGATCGCACACTGTTTATTGTTCTGGCGTGGCTACGTTGTGTCTTCTTTCAAACAAGCACGCAAAGGCACACAACCTGACCGACATTGGGTGGTACGTTTGGCTGAGTATTCATGCTTATACTCGCGCTTACGATATGTACTACCCAGGCTATGCAGCGCTACGACGAGTGTCCCTGGTGGTGGTATATGACACTTTTGGTGCTCTCTTTCTTTGCCGGTAAGCACTCATCACAGCGCATATAGCCGTTGCTGATCCGCGGCAACTACAGGGTTGATTGTGATTTTCACGGGACACACTACGTTACCTTGGTGGGGGTACATTTTGTCTTTGGCAGTTGGTGGTAAGTTGCCTTGCACTGCGACATGTAAGAATGGTTTCCTGACATAGGAGAACATAGGATTTGTTGCCCCGTTCTCAAACCTGCTTTATGCGCGGCTTGGAAACGGGATTGCTACAAATCAACTCATGAAGATGGTGGCCGGGGCAGTACACCCAGGCAAACCAGTTGCTAACCTATACTTCAGCATGTGGTCTCATGACGTGATCTCGACCTCGATTGGCCTTGCTGGTGACTTGAAAATGGGACAATATCGTGAGTTCAGCCTTTGAGATGCTACCGAACTAATAACTGAGTGTTATGCGCGTGTCTCAGTGAAAATACCCCCTCGTGTGATGTTTGCCACCCAGGTATGGGGTACACTCTTAGGAGCCTTCATCAACTATGCGTGAGTTGTTACTGCCCTTTACCTATTTCTCCAATATTTATCATAGTCGAAATTAGTGTAATGGCCTCTATCACGTCTTCACGTCGAGAGATCCTTTTGGATCCTATTGGTACGAACGTTTGGAGTGGCGCGACTGTGCAATCCCTCAACTCTGCCGCGGTAACTTGGTCTTTGGCCGGTCGGCTGTACGGGCCCCACGGTCCGTACAAATGGATCCCCGTCGGTTTGGGCCTTGGCATGATCCCAACAACCATACAGTACTTTCTTTGGAAGGTTAGTCTACTCAAGCATGATTTGTTGTGTTAATTTTGACACTTGAATCCCAATAGAAATGGCCGAAGATTGGACCGGTAGAATTGGACAAAATCATGCTGCCAGTTATTTATATGGTGAGCGTTGTAAGTTCCATTCAATATACGCCGGAGCTGACGATCGTTTGCAGTATGCCGGCTGGTTTGTGTCTGGAGTGAACTCCATCACTACGTCCGTTATCATTGTTGGGCTTGTCTCGCAAGTTTGGCTGCGTCGTCGTCACCCCGGGTGGTACAACAAGTATAACTATATCCTGGGTGGGGGGCTGGATGGAGGAACTCAAACGATTGTGTTCATTTTGAGCTTTGCTGTCTTCGGCGCTAGTGGTAGTGAGAAGCCTTTCCCTAACGTGGGTGCATTTCCATTGACTGTTGGAGCTACGGCTGACAACTATTTCCAAAGTGGTGGGGCAACCCCGCAGATATCAATCCAGACTACTGCCTTTAAATAACCTTGAATATGTTGTAACTATATATGCCAAGAGATGCGCTTAAACAGAAACAATATGACTTGCACACGAAGATACATGGCGTTGTAGAGACGCCCGGCAAACCGCGTGCCGTACAGAAAGATATGCGGGTATAAACCCTGTGCCATAAAGCCTGCTGCATGTTGAGTATAAAAAGTAACGACCAGTGCAGGACTCGAACATGCAATCTCCAGCTAGGGGTACCACATGAGCAGGTGCCTCATGTAATGGAACCGGAAACTGGCGCTTTGCCATTAAGCCAACCGGCCTTGCTCAGCCGGTCGTAATGATTACCAATATCCCGGACACCGTCTAGCCAACCTCAACTTAACGACTTTTTCAGACAGTATTGGGCATTAGGTCCCTTAGACATCATACGGTCCTGTTTTCTCTAGGATGAACATGCCATATGCATATCCGGCTCCTCTCTGCCGAAGCATTGACTATAAAATTGTGTACCACCCCTCAAAGGGACATTAGGACCATGAACCTCGCGTGCGCACGGTTATCCCGGCCGCCTGACATGGCTAGCACTGCTGTGTTCAAGGTTTACCACTCGCTTGGCATGGTTCTTATGCTTGCCGCCGTACGCGCATGGTTAAATGCCGGATGTAGCCATTACACCTGAGTACCTATCTGGAAAGCGTCTTCGGGCAAAGACATTGAGAACTTCTGGTGTTTTTTCCCTTCTCGATACGGTTATAGGGAGCCTTGGTAGTGGTGGGGATGTATGTAAAGGCTCCGCAAACATCGCATGGCCCGACGCTGCAGATCCTTGTTCAATCGACCCGTTACATGGTACTTACCCAATCGCCAAGGCGCCATGTGCCCCGGGGCAACTTAACTACAAGGTATGCCTTTGACCACGAGACGGCAGCTCTGGGGCAAATTCTCGGATGAATAGATTAAAGTAAACCTTGGGCAAATACGGGAGTCACGCGACATTAGGGGTAAACTAATTGCCCTGCATAGATGCAGTAGCGAAAGGGACGAGGCCCGATATGAATAGAAACAATGTATGAATATGTATTAGAAAGCTCGTTCTAAGCACGCATACATAGGCATGAGTCTCACCCAATGGACACGGGTGTCGTGCTATCAGAACCAACATAGCGAAACGAATCCAGCGTTAGGTCAAGTGACTCAGGACAGATCTTCTCCACTCACGGCTATGAAGATGTGCCCATCTGCATCGGAACAACGCTTGCGGCCCCCGTAGATCCGTCAAATACCAGAAAATTGGAGATCGGAGGTTCCTTGGCCCCCAAGGCTTTCAGAATGTCTTGGCCAAGAAATCCACCAACAATAGCACAAATGGGGCTAAACTCATGCTTCGCCGTTGCGCAAAGAGAACTTATCACCGTGCTGGGTGTTAGTAAATGTGCAAGCGTCAGGTGAGCTAACATACTCGACAGCAGCAATTGAAGGCACGGGGTCGGCTTGAGCGTTAACTCCAGCAGATCCAATCATTTCGGCAGCAATGTTGCGTACTTCTGCACCGGAACTTGCTCCAACGGGAGCCTTGTGTTGACGTTCCCACTCCCATAGAGCTGGTTGTGTTGTCAGATGACTGTCGGGGAATGCCGCAGCAATCTCACCTAGTACAGAAAACACAATAGAAGGATTGAGCTCTTTCGTCTGACGCTTGGAAAGGCCTTTCCAGGAGTGACTGAAACTCTCGCGTAGCGAAGGATAGGTCACCACCTGTTTTGTGGTTTTCACTGCTCCACCGTTCGTGGGGTTGCGGTCCCTGGATTCTGTGAGTGGGGATCGGGAGAGAATATGATAGAACGCACTGAGCCAAGTATTCATGAACCAATAGATCTGCAAACACAAAACCAAGGACCCCATACGATCCTCCACTATAAAACAGTTTTTTTGAACGACGGCACGCGTCGTTCAACCGAAGCTACAATAACAACATACACATCATACGGATGTCACCTTTTATGAATGGACAGGCTCACCATATCATCCTTCTGAGAGTCTGTCACACAAACAAGATCAACGCCCGCAAGAGTTTTGTCTACTTGATCATCGGACAAGCAGTCAAAATCCGAGATCGCTGCCACGTCAACCAAGGGATTTAGGCTTTGAATTCGGGGTTTCGCGGCATCGACTCGCTTGAGATATATACTTCAATCAGTTGCCTACGGGCGCTTTCTACTATGATGGCGTACCTGCTTCCCAACGTCCTGCTCAGAAAAGAAAAACCCACAGCCCAAATCCTTTTCGGTGACAGGTTCATCGTCAACGATAATCAGTTTGCCTATTCCTGCAAGGACAATGTTTTTTATTGCCTCGGTCGCGACACCCTGAAGTCGAACAACAAGAACGGTGGCATTTCGCATCCTAGACGCCAATTAATTACTCCATCTCACCATGTCATTGTACATGACTCACTTTTGCTGGGCATCTAGCCCCCATAGCCTAATCTGACGGTCGTACAGAGCCGCCTCATCTAAAATGCGAGATTAACACACTAACTAAACACGGGCCAGAAATGTCCCAAACCCTCGGTAATCGAGACAGCAACTTTCTGATCGGTTTGGGGGTCGTTCGAGTTAGACATGATTGCAACGCAATGATTCGTATAAAGTGGTTGGGATTGCAGTATGCTTGTCGCGTTCGCGCTGGGCGGTTGCAAATCTATTCACGTGATCAGAGTTCAAAGGGGGATGTATTCAAACAAGCTTCCAGTCGCAAGCGATACATGAAGAACAGAATAACAGGTACAGTGATTAAACACAAGGGATCTCAGGGTATATCTATCTACGCGCTCACAATAGCGCGCTCCATCAATCTTGACGGAAACATACTCGAAAATATAGACAACAGCTCCAGAAGCTTAAACCCAAAGAAATGATCATACGTTAATGCCACCTGTGTGGTCACTAGCTCCGCCATCTTGTTCATCATCAAGCCTTAATTAACAGCTATTAGTTAACGTGATCCAATATGACCGAAGAAGCAAAACTCACAGATAGTTCCTCTCAATTTCGGAGAGAATGGAGAGGAAGTCCCATAGGTACGCGTGTGCTCGCGCAGCGGACGCCGGGGCTGTTTCCGCCTTGCGAACTGCGTCCAGAAGTGTGGACGCAACGAACCTAACTTTGTGAACAAGTGACGGGCCGTTGGTAGCAATCGATTGGATGGGTATACTGCGGGGGAAAGCGGTTAGCACTTGACGATGAGGTAATGGGATAAGACACACCTGTGAAGAACGTTAAGCAGGTCGCTCGCCACTTGCTCCTTATCCTCAGATGTCCAGCTTCGGAGCGCCTCTGACTCAAAGTTATCCGATGCCGACTGCCGCATCGACGTGACAAGCTCATCACGATATTGCTCGATAACGTAGCGAACAAGTTGCTAAAATGCAACGGTAAGTAAATGCCAAGCGCAGATAACCAAAACTCTTACTTGGGTCACGTAAAGATTCGCCTGCATGACCAGATACGGGTTCATAGCGTTCGCACGCGACGCATTCGGGTTATCGAAGAAGTCTTTGACTTCAGCAAACGCAGCTTTCCGGAATCCAGCTCCGCCATATTCCTCGGGCTGTCCGGTGATGGTGTTGTAGCTGATCGTGCTAGGGTCGTGTCCTCCTCCGGGTTTCAGCCGGAGCGCAGGAGGCGCATGCATGAGTGCGGAGCAAATACGAGTATGGAGACTTCGAACTTCCTCAAGACGAGCGGTGGCAAACGGCCCTTGTGGAGGAGAACGCTTGTCCACCCGGATGCGGACTAGGATTTCGCCAAGGAGCGCGAAGATGCGGGAAATATAGTTAAGGCCGGACACGATAGCCGTCTTTCCATGGGGCTGAGGCAAGATGCCCGTGGCAGTAATGCTAGAACATAACTTTAGGTCAGCTGAAAGACAACCTAGGTGGCGTGCACGTACTACTCGTCATCAACCTCTTTTGGGAAATGCAACGTGCAATCCTCGTCACGCAAGCAGATCGGGCGCCCAAGAAGTATGCTCATGCTCTTGTCTGCACCAAAGAGCAACCAGAAAGTTCGTCGCCGGACTTCGCACTCAATTGGGTCTAATCCTTCATATGAGGTCTCCTCGTGCATGTGCAAGGTCACAGCAATATGCGCAGCTTCCCCGAACGCAGCATGAGATGTAGCATCGTGACCCTCGCAGAAGTGGTAGCAAGTGTCGCTGAGACAATGAAGATCAGCCGGGCGGGCCGGTCAAACGAGCAAAAAACTCACAAGTATCGGATAACCACCATCATTGATGTGGGTGGGTCATAAGATGCCACACTGATATGGCGGCTCGCCTCGTGGCATGTCTGGGCCAACCTCCTAACCGAAGGACGATCCATGGGAATGTAACTGCGTGGGGCCTGGACAAGGGTGCTCGCCACAGTTGACATTACAAGAGCAAAAAACAGTGGATCGCGTTCCTCTCGGCGGTTTGCTAGATCGGACAAGAAGCTCGGTTTATGGATACAGGGCGTCAGAGGATAAACCAGGTCAAAGAACACGCCGATTATGTGCATGATTCTCTCGCGTGGTGCGACGCTGTCTAAACGGTGAGGTCGATAGAAATATGAAAGAGGGGGAAGGGGAGGCATCCCAGAAGGGTGCTGGTTTCCGTATACGTTGGGCTTGTAAGGCATAGTCCAGTTGTAGAGTGGGTAATTGTTGGGGAAGGACGCCTCCAAATGGGCTTGAGAGGCACCGCCGGCGTCCGCTGTCCTTGGCCGACCATCGCTACCGCCATCCGAACCGGCGCCCGGACTTTGTCCACTAGGGTTGAAACCCGGGGGCTGAAATTGGTCTGCTGCGATGGGGTAACGGGATGGAGGCAAGGCAACTGGAAGAGGGGACAGGGTCGCGTTATACTCCATAACTGGAGAGGTGGCCGTGGAGAGCGTCATGGGGACATGCACGGGCTGCTCGCTGATGGACGAAGGTACCGTCGGCTGTGATGGAACGGACACCTGCGCACGACCATGTTGGTGAGAACTATGAGCAGTGGCAATGGGAAGCGACGCTGGGGGAATTCCATCACTCGGAGGAATAGCACCATTCGCATGTGGAGACGTTTGTGGAGGAGCCCCACTTCCAGGAGTCTGAACAATGTTCCCAGCCGCAACAGCCGCTTGTTGGGCGGCTAGGTTAGCGGCAGCAGCCTCTTGTAAACGGCGCAGATATCTAAGGACAGCTCGTCAGTATGAGCAATATAGACACAGGCCAAGCATGCTGAAAACAAATCGGGTGGGAGGCAATGGCAAGGAGAGGGCGGCAAAGGTTGGGAT